CGGATTTAGAGCTGACGAGAAACTTCTTGTCAGTGGCATTGGTGTTGGAGCTGGCGCATATACTTTTCTTCTCTTGAGAGTATCGTTTTCCTTCTTCTCAATGAAATTAAGGAGTGCGGAGCACTGAGAATAGTTCGCCGGGTGTTCTTTCTTACAATTGACACACATCGGTGCCTCGGTTAGTAGTTTCTTGCACGCACCTGGCGCGTGCATCTCGAGGCACTTTATACACCTGTACTTCATATCGCAGGTGTACGATGTGTGTCCAAAATTCAAACAGTTGTGACACTGTAGAGCCCTATTTTGTGACCTGTATGTCTCCCAAGAGAAGATGTGCCCTCCAATGTTACTAATTTGCTTCAGCTCCGACATGTCTTGATCTTTCTCCAGAGAGACAATGTATATGGGCAGCTTATGTTGGCTGCCATCCGATAACTTTCGTTTGATCTGTATCACTTGTCTGACTTTAATTCCTTTCAATAAGAGGTCTTTGCAAACTTCAGCTTCGGGTATCGAAGGATGAAGTCCAGTCATTGTAATTTTCTTCGGCAAATCTTTTCTCATCGAGTATGTGTAGAATTGGTAATGGCATTCTCTCAATACCTTTTTAACTTGCTCGTGTTCCTGGATTGTATCTGTAAAAATTTTGTGTAATTGCGTGTTGAAAAACTGATATCTAAATTGGATCTTAGTTGTGTCTCTGATGTACTTTATTGTTTTCAATTCTAAGTTTGCCTTGATGATGATGGGTGGTATTTTCTCAGGTGTTTTGCTTAACTTGTTCGGTGATTCTCGATTGCCAGACTCGGATGGCTGCTGTCCAACATTTCCCTCTGGTTCCTTCTTCTTAGCTCTCTTTCTCCGTGACACTTTTCTATATTCGTTCAACTCCCTGTCTGTATCCATGTCCGATCGGTCCGATAGTGCATTGAATTTGTTTTTGAGGGCACCGCTGGTCTGCACCTCCATGCTCATTTTGATCTTCTTCCCAGGCTTCTGCCTGGGAATATCCTTGGGCTCTTCAATATACTCGGCACTGATTTTAAGAAAATAAATCAAAAGTACTTAAAACAAATAAATTTAGAAAAATCACTTTCTAAAATGCGCTTATCCTCTAACCATTACCAACACCGACCCAGTGTTTGGAAAGAGGAGTCAGCAAAGGCACGTTCACCTTTAAAATTTAGAACACTGAACAAGGTGTATATTACCTTGTAAGTATTAAGCCCGGTGCCTTTAAAAAGGCAAGATTTAGAATCAATTCCGGACTTATTACTTATTTCACAAAATCTATTGACACTTCACTGAAAAACAAATGACAAATAAAACAATTGCATATTACATATCAATATATTTATATATATTTATATATATATATATATATATATTTAACATGCAATATATGCACATTTTTAAATTTATTATTATATGATGGTTTTTTATGGGGCCGATCCCGGCGGTACTGCAATACCGGGCCAACCCGCGGCGGAAGCGGAGCAAGCCCCTGACATTCCGCCAATTTCCAAAAATCAGTTTAATATACTGGATCTGCTATGCAGATACTATCAGATATTAAGCTGATAAGAACAGATGTTTCTTTTTAGATAATGCTGATGATATAGTGTAGGCCATTTGCAAATCTTAAAGAATTTTGATGTATCGCTGTGTATGTCAGACCAAGTATATAACTAGTACAATACGCGGACTGACATATAGCGAGCATATATCTGGAAGAGGAAATTACAATTTTATTGATATATAATAAAACACTACGGGCCAGCTATTAGCTGGTAGTGTGTATACATTTATTCAGCATTTTTAAATCATAGAAAATTATGCCGTTAACATGTTAACGGCATGTAACATATAGTATTCATAACATCAAAAAGTATATAAATTATTTGAGCAATAGCTTAGATATTCTTCAGTCTTGGTCCTTATTCAGCCATGGTGCTGGGTAGAATGTTTCGCTGAGGTTATAATATTGTCATTCAACAGTTTTCTCGTCCCTCCTCAGCCGTGGTATTGTCTGCTTCCTGTGATGTGTTCGACATACATGTCACGGGACCATTTGATAGTGTCGGACACCATCAGGCGCTTCATTAGCACAGAGTAGCGGCGGCCTATTCCTAAGGCTATTAGGGTTTCGACGTTACTTTTGTCGTATCCCCCGAGTGATCCCATGACGAATACCAGGATTTTGGTGGTTAGGCCTTGAGTATGTAAATGATTGGACAGGGCACTATATTTCTTGATTTTTTCAGCTCTTGCAGTAACGAATGCTTGAGGCCGGTTCTCGAACGCCACCGTCACATCCATAATTAAGGCGATTTTCTGCGTTTCGTCTATAATGACTACGTCGGGTCTCTCTGCTCCAGAATATCCCGGGATCTGCTGATTGATAAATGTTCTGGATCCGGTGGCACCTTCATTGCTTTTGTCAGTCGGTTTAGAATCGCGTTATGTCTTTTCGTCATGGTGACAAACTGTGGACGACAGTGGTTCAGCACGTGCGGCAGCGTCTCGTTCTGGTGGCCGCATCGTCTGCACCGTTTGTCGTTCTGACCGAATCTTCGGCACCCGTCAACGGCAGTACGTTCAGACGGGTCTATGTATGAAACGCCAGTCGGCGAATCTTGTAAAACTGCCATCTCTAATAAGTGGTTGGAGACAGAATTGGCCGATGTCACTTCCATTGCCTTTCCCTGGTCGGTTTAAGTATAAGTTGTTGTTGCGGAAGTGATTCCGCGCCGCCGTTCTTAGTGCGCTTTCTGAATTCTTGTCTCTCAACGCGCTTGTTGTGCCACTTGCAGTGAGTCCATTCGAGAGAGGAAGTTGATTTTGCCCTTTAGGCGTCTGGCGGCTGCTCTGAGTCTCGTCCATGTTGAACTAATGTCGTTGCTCGGTTTTTGCCACCAATCCTTCGTCAGATCCGTTGATGTAGTCAACGAGTTCATTCGGCGTGGCCTCTCTGATCGTTTTCTTCCGAAAAACCTCCTTCAGCGCTGCCCAGACTTGCTTCTGCGACGCTGTCATCGTTGGACGTGAGCAGTCTGTGCGCATGGACGACCTGTCCGATGTCTGCCAAGAAAGAGGTTGGTAGCAGGTTGAAGCCTCCCTCTTTGTAGGCGAGAGATAGGATCTCAGCGCTGGCTCGCTTGGCAGATTGGCCCACTTCTTGGCGTAAGTCTTCACCTCCCGGTCGTATATCCATAGTAGTTTTTTTTCGTGGTTTTACCGTCCGGAGGTGAAATTGTAATTGCGGCATGATGAACGTGTTTAAGGCGTCCACCTTTTCCAGGGGGCTAGTAACGAATTGTTCAGTTGCTCCGCATGCCTCCTCATCGCCTGATGACTTCGTCGGCCGAACTGAAACTCTGAAAAACCCGTTGGATGCCTAGATATTCATAAGATTGGTCCATGTCCAAGGTTTTTCATAGTTTCTCCATTCAGGCTGAAGGTTGTAGTAATAGCTCGGTGTTGTTTGCCGTCCACATGCAACGTGGCGCATTTTCTGGTGTTGAACTGCAGTCCGCTTTTTGAAACCGTAGCTGTAGTGTCCATAAGTTTCTGCAGTCCTTCTGCGCTATCAGCCATCAGCATAAGATCATCGGCATACGCCAGCACGTTATTGATGGTGCCGTTTGCATATAGTTTTCTGGCGTGTTTCGGATGGCTCGTAGCAGCGGTTCAATGGCCATGTTGAATGTTATAGGAGACAGCGGAAATCCCTGTTTCACTCCCGCTTCTACTGGAACGTCCTCCGTTGATCCCTGGACGCTTCTGATTCTTCGTCGTGCATCCGCTATAAAATCTTTCTATCAGGGAAATGCTCTCGCTGCCCCAGTCCCGCCCAGCGCATTGCGTTAAAGATTGTTTTTATGTGGGATCGAACCGAAAGCATTTTTTAGGTCCAGCCATGCGACCGCGATTTCTTTTCGTCTTCTTCTGGCATCCTGAATTGAAGATTGCAGCGTGTAGTTATGTTCGCTGCAACCTTCAAATGGCATGAAACCTTTTTGTGCGTTTGAGATGCGGATTTTCTTTGCACCATTTGCCCAGGCGATCTGCCAGAACCGAGGCGTATAGCTTTCCAATTGTATTCGACAGGGCGATAGGCCTCCAGCTCGTGACCTCATCCAAGTCGCCTTTCTTCGGAATTAAGATGGTCTCCGACACTTGCCACGAGCGTGGTACATACTTCAGTTTGTGTGTTTGGTTAAATATTGCCGCTAATATATGCGAGCCAGGGTCGCATTTTTTCCATAGCCAGTATCTGATGCCATCGGGACCCGGTGCCGTATTTTTGCATTTAAGCGCACGGGCCCAGATCTCTTCTGCTGTGAAATCTTTAGTAAGAGGATTATTGTTCCCATCTCCTACCGGTGTTATTGGAGGTATAATTTCTGGCATGGCTTCTGATGGTTCCGGATCTGGTTGTCTTCGGTAGACGGCCTTGAAGTATGCGTGGAGAAATTCGGGTTCAAAGTGACAATAAGCTCTTTCGTTATTTCCCGTTATTTCCCTAAACGCCCTTTTTCTATCTCGTCTGTATAGTTTTTGTATGCGGGCAGCAGCGGCGGGGTCGAAGGTCATATCCGTATTCCTCTACGACGTCGTCTTTGGTCGGTATTGGGTCGGTATCTGCGACCAGACTCGTTTCGGGGTTCAGCGCTTTCATTCGGCTTGATTGAATTCGATATGTCTTCGATTCTTTATCCAGGTCGGCCGGTGTTGCAGTAGCCTGAATCCTCCGGCAGGCCTCGACTTGGAATTCCGTCATTTTTGGAGTGACCAGTGTGGGCGTCGGGATGGTTCCTTCGTTTCTTGTTTGTTGGCGGACGCCCTCTTCTCGCGATGGAGTCTCGCTTGGCCGAGTGTTGATTTCTTCTACTATTGCTCTTATATCACGCAGGCGTTCCGCAATTTCCCTCTCCATTTCGTTTGCTGTTACCGTTTCATTCTCGTTGGAAATCACCTCAATCGGGGGTGCTGTCTCGTCATTTGTTTCGGATGTATTTCTCAGTTGCTACTCTTCTCGCTATTAAGCTAGGCCACATTGGAATTTCATCGTCTACTATTCCGGGTAGTAATGCTGGCGGTTCCAGCTCCGGTGGCATCTCTGCTGTGGTAGGCAATTGGCTTCCGCTTGTCCTAGTTGTGGTGACTTCTATTGGGCTGGGCCACAGCGGAATATTTTTGCCGGTTTCCTCGTGCAGTTGTCCTGGTGGATTGAGTTCTGATGAAATCTCAACCGTGGTGGATTCTCGTCCTCCGCTTGATTTGCCTCTTCTCGCTGTTAAATTAGGCCGCGTCGGGATTTCATTGTTTAATGTTCCGGGTAGCAAAACTGGTGTTTTCGGCTCCGGTGGCGTCTCTGAAATGGTGGGCAGCTTTTTCCCGCTCGTTCTATTTGTGATTATTTCCATTGGACTGGGCCACAGCGTAATATTGTCGCCCGTTTCTTCGCGTAATAGTCCTGGCGGATTAGGTTTTGGTGATGATATTTCAGCTGCGGTGAATTCCGGGCTTCCGCCTGTTGTGTCTAAAGTCGCGCTTTTCGTTCTCCAAATAACCCTACCACCCTTCTGACTTTGGTCTGATGGAGGCACACTCGCGGCTCTAGTTCTTGATCTTGTCATAATTTGAGAGCTAGAGGCTGGAGGGGGGGTTATATTCCTGGTCGTTAATGTGGTTACTGCAGTTTTAGGTCTCGTTTTGGTGATCGAAGCAGGTCTGCTGGTCCCAGCCTGAATATTTGGGTCAACTGCAGAAACGGACTTTGGTGGAGTGCTGGGTGTTGGCTTGGTTGGTTTATTATGTTTTGTCATATTGGCCTTTTTCCCGCGGCCTTCACATTCATGAGGTGGCCCCTAAATGCGTTTAACGATGTTGGTAAGTTGCATAGCGAGCATTTGTATTTGAGCACAGCATGGTGCTCTATCCTCAAATGCATCATAAGTTTACTCTTCTGGGTGTATGCTTTCCTGCATTTTGGGCAATGTGCTTTGTCATCTTTCAATGGTAGGTCCAGGTAGACGACCTCAGACTCTGCAAAAGTATTATTTTCTGTGCTGAGCGAAAGTCTGAGGTCGTAGTCCCAAGGCTTTGCAGGCCTGCGTCCGGGTAAGCTTCTTTGGGAGCTCATGTAGTATCTGCTTTCTTATTTGGGGCAAGTTTTCTCATGACATTTCATGCATATCACCATTTATTCATTTGTTCATTCATATTGGTTTATATTGGTTTTGGGCAAAAAGGAAAGAGAAAAAAAAAAAAAAAAAAAAAAAAAAAAAAAAAAAAAAAAAAAAAATAAAAAGAAGATAAAGAATAAAGTAATAAGATAATAATAAGAATAATATATATAATAATAAGATAATAATATAATAATAATAATAAAAATAATAATAATAATAATAATGATAATAATATAATAATAATAATAATAATAATAGTAAAATAATAATATAATAAAAAATCAATAAAATAATAAATTAAAAAGTAAAATGGGCCAAAATAATTTATATATAGGACATAAATATAAGTATAAAAAGCAAAAATAGATATAAAAAAAAAATGCGAAAAGTAAATCAATAATTATAAGAGAGGAAAAAAAATGCAATAACGTATAACATAGTAATAATATAAAACATGTCATGTATTTATTGTAGACAGCGAACGCGTATGTCGCTGTGTCGACAGCGTGCCTCGCCTGTTGATACACACGCCCAGTGGAGCGCATGTCAAAGTGTGAGAATCAATTTATGGCAATTGTGAAAAGTTGTGTAACGCGAAATAAAGTTTAGGGTTAATGATGATGTAATTAAAGGTTGGAATCATAATTATAACTGTGATATATTACGTTTGAATTTAGTTGGGCGACAAATTTAGATAGATGTATATATATCTATGAAACAATAATCGATTTGGGTTCGTGTCTCACCGTTTAATGTTCCGCGGAGACGGGCTTCAGCTAAGGCGCGTCAGTCGCGTGATCGGTACACTCCGCGACAGAATGTATCGAAAATTTTGAACGATTGATATAATAGTATACGAAAATATAACTGAATTGCGAATGGATTTTGGTAGAAATATATTATAATTTGATATGATGGAGTAGTTGGTGGTAATGGCAAACTTTGTGTAATGCAGCTATATGTAGGTATATTATTTATGTCTACAAGTATGCATTCACCGATCGGCAGAAAAGTAATTTAATAATATAAATGTAGGCTTAATATTATTATTTTAAGCGTTTATATTAAGGTAAACAGAGAAAGTGTATGGCAAAAGTAAAAAACACGACTATAAGTATAATTATAATTCTGGATATAATGCGAGTAAGAATAGTTAGTTAGTTTTTAGTTTCAAATTTAAATAAAGAAAAATGTATTGAATTTACAGTAACAATATAATTGCATTTACAACGATATGGTTGTCAATGCAAAATGTATATCGTAATAGTAATTTGAGTATGTAATGAATATTTATTGTTTTATATATAGCGCGAAATTATAATTATAGTCGCGCGACTAAATACACATAATTATAATAAGAGAAGAATAAAGGTTTGAGAATTCTCGAACAGTAATTATGCGCGAGACGCGCAACGTTGTTAATTTTTGTATCGCGTATTTTACCGATCAGCGAAACGCATCTATGCATCCACCGTTATACGTATATGCGACGCGCGAGCTGCAATCACACATACAATCAAACCGTCAGCACACACGTCCACCCGCATACACGCGCGATCTACAAACCAACATACGTGCGTACACACACACAAACACACATGCACACACACACATATTACGTACTTATACTATGTCATAATGAGAAAACTTACCCGTATGATTTACTCGCGAATGGAACACATCACAGTTTTAGAATAAGTCAAATATTTATTTTAAGTTAGCGAAAGCCTTTTGGAAGCGCTGGCAAATCGTCGGAAGCGGAGCAGGCCCCTGACAAATAAAATTTATCCAAAAATCACTTAAAACACTTTATATCGCGAAATTTATTAAGCAGATAAGAACAGATACTACACTTTGATCTTAGCCATTCGGCCGAGAAGCGATAAATTTGCGGACAAATACTATTTTTAAATTCTACAATATAAACAAAATATTCCCAACTATTTCAACGATTCATTTTTCATCTATTTTATCAACTCTCGCGTCCATTCCCTAACTATTCTTCACCCCCCAAAGTTCTATGAGCGAATGTTCTAATATGGCTGTTAACTCTACTGTCGTTATAAGCCTTTTCTCACATTTGTAAAATTTTACAAAATAATTTATATAAAGTATTTTCTGACACTTGCAAAATTTTTCAAAAAATATGTTATTAGGAGAACAGACGGTCATATTCATATTAATTTCTTTATCGATAGATGTGTGTTCATACTTATATATATTAAACTCATTTTTTGTCATATTTATATGAAGTATTTTCTGACACTTGCAAAATTTTTCAAAAAAATATGTTATTAGGAGAACAGACGCTCATATTCATATTAATTTCTTTATCGATAGATGTGTGTTCATACTTATATATATTAAACTCATTTTATTGTCATATTTATATAAAGTATTTTCTGACACTTGCAAAATTTTTCAAAAAAATATGTTATTAGGAGAACAGACGCTCATATTCATATCAATTTCTTTATCGATAGATGTGTGTTCATACTTATATATATTAAACTCATTTTATCGTCATATTTATATGAAGTATTTTCTGACACTTGCAAAATTTTTCAAAAAAATATGTTATTAGGAGAACAGACGCTCATATTCATATTAATTTCTTTATCGATAGATGTGTGTTCATACTTATATATATTAAACTCATTTTTTGTCATATTTATATGAAGTATTTTCTGACACTTGCAAAATTTTTCAAAAAAATATGTTATTAGGAGAACAGACGCTCATATTCATATTAATTTCTTTATCGATAGATGTGTGTTCATACTTATATATATTAAACTCATTTTATCGTCATATTTATATAAAGTATTTTCTGACACTTGCAAAATTTTTCAAAAAAATATGTTATTGGGAGAACAGACGCTCATATTCATATTAATTTCTTTATCGATAGATGTGTGTTCATACTTATATATATAACTCATTTTTTGTCATATTTATATGAAGTATTTCCTGACACTTGCAAAATTTTTCAATCCTATTATCGTTATATATAATCTTTTGTTAGATTTGTATAGCTTTATATATTTTTTTATTTTATTATTAATTCTATAGTTTTTATATAATTAATTTATATAGTTAATTGAAATCAATTATCGATATTACATATCAATATATTTATATATATTTATATATATATATATTTAATATGCAATATATGCACATTTTTAAATTATTATTATATGATGGTTTTTTATGGGCCGATCCCGGCGGTACTGCAATACCGGGCCAACCCGCGGCGGAAGCGGAGCAAGCCCCTGACATTCCGCCAATTTCCAAAAATCAGTTTAATATACTGGATCTGCTATGCAGATACTATCAGATATTAAGCTGATAAGAACAGATAATACATGTATTTAGTAAATAATATTTACAGTGATTCCTAAAGCTATTTTACAAAGAGTATATATGGAAAGTATATCACATTTAAACTAATGATCTTATCTAACGATGTTCTTGAATTGAGAAAATATGTTATTATTATTTATATAGTGATAGCTTAAGATATTTCATGACTTAAGATATTTCATTTATCATAATAGTTGAGTCCAGGTTGGTCCTGTTCCTCATTCCAGTGGTCCTCATTCCAGTGCTGTAGCTGCTGGTGCGGGTCCTGCGTCCTGGTACTGCCTGTGTCCGGTGATGTGTTCCACGTAGATATCTCGGGACCAGCGGATCGTGTCGGAGACCATCAGCCGCTTCATCAGCACTGCATACTTTTTATTGACCTTGAGTGCTGCTAACGCGGTCCAATTGCGGCTGCAATATCCGCCGAGAGATCCGACAATGAAGGCGTCTACTGTAGTCCTAAATCCCTTGGCTCGAAAGTGCTCAGCAAGTGCGGCGTACTTGTCCTTCTTCAGCTGTCTAGTTGTCTGGAAGGCCTCGGTCCGGTTCTCGAAGGGCACCGCTATATCGATTATCGCAGCTGTTTTCTCTCTGTTGTCTATGATAACGATGTCCGGTCTCTCTTGACCGTCGTATTCTGGTATCGGCTGGTTGGCGTATAGGGCTCCGTCCGCTGGTTTCTTTGCCGCCGTAATCAGTCTCTGCACGATGCTGTCGTGTCTCTTTGTAATGGCGTTCAAGTGCGGCTTGCAGTGATTGATGACGTGAGGCAGGGTCTCATCGTGCTGTCCACATCTTCTGCATCGTTTGTCGCCGCTGCCAAATGGACGACTCCCGTTCAGTGGTAAAACGTTGAGCCGCGCTCGATGAATAAATTTCCACTCTGCAAATCTGGTGAAGCCGCCTTGCCTAAGGAAGTGGTTCGATGCAGAGTTTTGTGTCGTTACCCCGAACACTTTTCTTGGTCCGGTTTCCTGAGTAATCTTTCCTTGTAGAACCGTCGTGCAGCTGCTCGTAGGCTCGATTCTGCGTTCTCCCTGCTCACTGGCGCGTTGTCGACGGTTAGCTCGTCCAATCCCAGCTGCAGGTTAATCTTCGGTTTCAGCCTTCGCACTGCCGTCCTGAGCCTCGACCACGTCGTCGTAATGTCATTCGCTGGTTTTCCGAGATCGCCACTTGTTCCGAATTTTATGAATCCGACGATCTCCTCCGTGTTGGGTTCGTGTCCCACACGTTTCCTGACGACGTCTGCTAGCGTGGCTCTGCTGAGT